TATCCTATCCAGAAATAAGCCCCGGACCAATTTCGGAATCGTACCCCACGGCAACCCAATATGGCCTGGACCACTTCCGAAAATTGTCCGGACCACGGGTAACCCCCTCCTATCAAGACCATATATAAGGGGGGGCCATTCTGCACCATTCCATATTTTTCGCTGTCGACCACCGGAATTAACTGCAGCCAATACGCCCCCGATGCTTGCAATCCCCTCACGGAGCTTTTCAACTTCCCGCAACGGAGTTCTCTGACCGTGAGCGCTGTGCACTCGACGTGCTAAAGGAAGGCTCTGCTCCAAAGTCTGACTGTATCCGGGCACCAAGCCTTTCTCCTACCAATGGGTAATGCGTAACGCATGTTCTGTAGGAGAGCGACAACTTCTGCTCGGATGTGTTCGTAAGAAGCAAAAGTCCTTGGCTCACAAGCTGCAACAGAGCCTCGCCCTGGTCTGCTTGCGCACCCAAACAGGAGCTGGAAACTTTCCTGGAGACTTTCAACACCACTTCGACGTCCTCGAAAGACCGCTGCACGTCATCTGGCCATGCGTGAACGGGAGGGACAGGAAAAAGCGCCCGCAGCCGAGTCCCAGAAACTTTGGCCGGCGCGTTTTGCCACTCCCTGATGGAAAATGCCACGTTGAAGTGCAAAGACACAACCAACAACATCAATTCTAATGCCCTCAGAAATTTATGGGTGGCACAATCATGATGCGCCATGGTCGGAATCCATGCGTCTGTTCCGGCTTCGAAGTCATATCGCTGCCTATGTCGTCAAAGCTCGCCGAGCCATCAACTCCTCGTTTGTTTGCTGACTGTGCCCACTTCTCCAATTCCAGTCGGGCGGCAGTAAAGTAAATCTACAAGCATAGAAACCCACCATGGCGGCCCACAAGGAGTCTGCGAATCACTTGAAAAGGGATTGAAGCCAAACAGGCTTGCAGAGAAACTCAGTTGACGAACCATTTCATCTCTTGGCTTCGCCAACTTGAGCATGCAGGTACTGCAATCCAAGCGAACACTTGCTGCAATAATAACCCCCTCATGTCACGTGTCTC